CCTTCGTGTGAAAGGAATGCACGTGTGATTGGTAGTCACTGTTTAACACCTTCATCAACGCAAGTTTGGTCATTTAGAAATCAGGTGGCAACTACACTCTAACTCGAACATTCCTAAAGACACGTCTCTATATATTATAAGCGTAGGGGCCTATATGATCCGCACAGAAAGAAATGCACCGAGCGATCTCGCTTACGTCATCTAGCCACGTACTCGCATACAGTTCGTACATTATTGCGTCATGGTAACCATCGTATTCCCACAAACATTCCACCCAGCTCATCGTCTGGTACGCCCAGCCCGTACCTACTTCACCCTGCTCAAAAGACGGCGAGATAAAACTCAACATTAGCTGCCCCCGAACGAACCAGAAGATATTTCCTATTACACCAATATTCTCCGCAAAGAACCCCTGCCAACAGACCCTAAACTAATTCAAAGGTCTCGGCAAACATTCTTTGCCTACGAGATTTTTTTTTCTTAACCCTATACGTACGTCGTGTTTTACTATGGCATCCATTACGACGTGAGGAACTCTGTGCCAACACTTTCCAAAGAGGAAATACACTCGTTTATCCGATCCGTACGCTTTGCATAGCAGTCTGTCAAAACGATATTCTGAGAAATAGTGAAAGTTTTAAAGAGATCTTTGTACTAGAAGTATTCTAAAATGTGAAGAATACAACTCAGAGGGTACAAAATGACCACAGGGGGGCACGGATAGGGTTAAAGGAAAGAAAAACCTGATCCTACTCTGCACAGTGAGAAGAAATTACCCTCGTTTCGGTTGGAGTTTGGAGATGTCCGAATTCCAGGGGCGCCGGAAATAGCCGTGGCTGGACAAGGGCTGCACCGCGAACCCCCAGCTAGTGGACAGATCTTATCGTCTGCTCAATGCTTCGAGTATCTTGTTTGAAAGATACGTAGAGCAAATCGCGCCGTTACCCGGCACGCCGATCGCTGGCCGCCTCAGCAGACTAATATTTACCTATGCCAGTTTGGCCCGTAAAGTGAGGAAGATGAAATGCTGGATGGAGGAAGCGTTGTAGGTGTAGGGAAATGGGAACCGGAAGGTGGGGGG